CCAATTCAAAGTTTGAATTATTTTGGGTTCGGCTCATTTATGTTTTGTTATTTGTGTTTGACACTTGAATTCGGGTCATTTCATTCGAATCATTTTAGGTCTGGATCATTCCGTGTTCGAGTTCGGGTAAAAATTGATGGCTAGCAGGACATGTGAAAGTGGACCACATTCGAGTGTTGCTTTAGGCTTTACCATAAATCAACAAACTAATGGCGTCCTTGATGGAAAGCGAAATGTCATTGCTATCCAGCAAGACTAATAATTTATCACCCCAATCAATTATAGAAAACTCCATCATAATCTAGCTCGATACCCTAAACGATGTGTTCGAAAAGTAAGTACTTTTCATTACAAGTTTTGTTTAATTAAGGTAATTAACATTTTTAATATACAAGACAATAGAATGCCAAATATACAACATTGCTCAAAGAATCCAATTTGGTGAACGTGGCAGCACTGTCCGGCATGAAGATTCCCCCCCCCCCCCCGCTTTAAATTTGAGGCCAAAACCAAAACCCCCTTTAAGTGGAAATTAACTATGCTATAATCAATTAACTTTCAAATCTGAGATTGTTTTGAAATATAAAATGGGGAAAAGATGAGATTTCTAAGACGGCTAAAATTTCTTGAGGTGTTTGATGCCAATATGCTTCTGGGTATATAATTGATTGCATGACAACGAATCGAATGATAATACATCTGCCCTTTGATTAATCTAACCTGAAATTAATTCAGCTTAACTAAACAGTATATCTGCCTTTTGATTTTACCAATGTCTAGATGAATATTGTCGTGATCAAATTGAATTGAAGTTAGACTTTTGGATCCAATCATTGAGGAAAATATATTTTTGGATTAATAAAAATTATATAGTTTGACCGGCACAACCGTATGATTGTAGATCAATCATTCAATAAAATGATTTCAAAACTTTGTGAATAAAAACAGTCAGTTTCGTTACATAAATCATCCAATAACCACAACGCAGTTGAAAAGGAAACATAAATGCATCCATGAACTTGAATTTCTATGTCCAGCTTGGTTTAACTAAATTATTTGCTTCAAATATTTGAATATTTAATCAGATTTTATATGATTCTTTCCCTTTCCCGGTCAACCAAACCCCACCTAATCAAAGCTTCCATTCACAGTTCAAGCTAGATATTAAAAATACAATTATAAGTTTATCTAATGGGATGAGGCACTAGGTCCCTTAAGCAAGATCAGGGGTTTGAATCCTGACATTTGCGAATGGAGCAAACTGGATTGGGAGGGTCGCCCTCGCTTCTGCAATACCCGATCTGGATTAGTTAGTCAATAGATCGGATACCAGCGATTAATTCAAAAAAAAATACAATTAAAATTATATTTTTAACAAACAAGGTGAGAATGGGCAAAATAATTGAAGGGGGAAAGAGTTCGAAATGGTGGTGTCAAAACAACCAGCCCTCCACCACACAACAATCTTATTATCAAATACGTAACCGTCTTATTATTTATGCATCAACAATCATTAATTTATTTCCTTGTTCTTTTCCCATCATTTGAACATCTTAATCACCTTGAACTTATCATTTATGTCTTCGTACCATATATTTTATTATTGCTTTACGTATTAGTGGGTGAAAAATAATATAATATTATCGATAATTGTAAAATAAAAGTAATTAATAAGCATAACAAAAGTTTGTTTACTTTTTTAACTTTATTGACTATTTTTGCTCTTAAAAGAATTGTCTTAATGTTACGTATTTTAATCAGTACGTAATTAACTCGTAATATTATATTTATTAAATAATTTTATGTCATTATATACTAATAAATGTTCATATTCTGTATTTATATTAATAATATATTAAACAAATTCTTTATATATTATTTTTCTTTTATTAGTTATGTAACTTAGTTAGTTCATGGTTGATTTATGATACTGAAAAAAAAAATTCATGTTAATATATATTTCAGTATAATCATCGGTATCTAATCTATTGATCAACTAATTCGGATTGAGTACTCCAAAGGTAAAGATGACTCTCCCAACCCAATTTGTTTCATTCGCAAACGTCAAGATTCGAGTTCCTGACTTTACTTAAGGAATCCAGTATCTCATCCCACAAAATCACATGTTAATATATAATAGATGCAATAGATATAGATAAAAGTACTTAAAATATATTATATTTATATTAATTTTAATATACCAATAAATCATATATAATTTAAAACATCTATATCATAATTGTTATTCATTTATATATAATATTATATTTTAACTTTTTTTTTCTATTTCTAAATAATTTTATGCTTACATTATCTTTCTCAATTCCCTCTCTTTACTATTACATTAAACTAAAACAGATTTGTTTGTAACGTTACTGTATTGGGCTACGTTAGGGTTAGTCGTTGTCAATTATGTCAGCGACGGCATTACCTCCAATTATATGCACATCTCGACATGAATTATTTATTCCAATTATTATATCATCTACACATATTTTTTAGTAATATTTTGTATGGACTTCCTTTCTGCGATAAGCTCAACTAGGAAACATTTTGTAGTGTTGTCATGCATCATTTATATTCCGTTTCATGGAAGCATTTTCCCAATATAAAAACATATAAGAATTCGTCTTCATTTGCAAGTTGCTGAATCATAAAAAAAAAAATCTACTCGTTTTCTTTAACACTAATGGTGCGTATGATTTTTATCAAACAGGAGTATTAACTTTACTATTTAACTCTAAATCTATAATGAGTATTTTTTTAATTAATCTATTGAAATTTAATCATTTTTTAATATTATATATGATTTATATTCAATGTATTATTCGAATGCAAATTTTTTATATTTATTAAATTTAATTCTAAATCTTAAAATTTAAAATTTTGAATCATAAAATCTAATATCATAATCCTTCCACACAATGATGGATCTAGGTAGGGCTATTGTCCCTTCAAATTTTTTAATTTTTTTATATAAATTAGATATATTTTGTATTTTATATTAAAAATATGTTTTCATCCCTTTAAAATCTATAATTTCGTAATTTTTAACTTAAGATTAGGTTTTCACCCCTAACACAAAATTATGCTTCGGTCTCTATTCCCACGATATATTCCATAATATTTTAGTAGCTGACGTGGTGTGTTCTTCTATCTCTTCAATTATAGAGGCACTCTAGAAAGTGGTGTCACAGTTTATAATTTCTATAATTTATAGTTGAAGCAATGATAGAAGCCAAGCAAGCAATGTTTAATGTAAATTTCACATGAATTGCATTCCCATGTACCTTAATTAAATTAATTATATGCATCTGTACACATCACCTATAAGATCTTCCATTTTTCTCTTAAATATTGGAGAAGGAATTGTATTTAAATAACACATTTTACATGAAAAATAATATTTAACTAAAATCATTGGAAAAATTGCACACGAAAATCCTACCATGTTCACACATGTAAAACAATAAGAAAATATTACGATCATTATCACTCGGTTCACACCTTTATAGAAGCTATATATAAATAATACAAAGAGTTATAAGTTCCAGGCTTTAAAATTTTTAATAAATAAAAAAAATTGAATACGTTAGTGATTTTGATTAAGACATAATATTAATAGTGATATAAAAATTAACTTGAGTAAAATAAAATAAAGGGACGAAAGCCGCAATTTAACCAAAAAATATTAATAGTATTCTTATATTTGTGTATATATGGATTGGCAGTTGGAAAAAAAAAATGAGATGAAATGAACAAATAATGGAAGCTCTTACTTGTGGGAATTCTCTAGATTAGACCCAGGTGGAATAAAAAACTGGCTTAGCTTCCTCTTCCGGTCCTATCTTTTGTGCCAAACTCATTATAAAATTCCAAAGAACTGGTCTACAGCTCAGCACAGAAAATAATAATTAAAAAATAGTCCGATTATGATTTTAGTCTCTTTTATAAAACTAAAATATGATTAGTCTGTTTTAATACAATATAATTTATTCTTTTATCTTTATAATATTAATAGGTCTACATTTATGATATCAATTAGTTATTTTTAGAATGATGAGATTATTGTTTTTAAATCATTTGAAATATATATATATATATATATATATTATTCAATCCCAGCAGTGACGAAACTTGGTAATAGAGTTTGAACGATTAATTTAAAACTTTAAAAATTTGAAAGTTTAAATTAAAATTTAAAAATTTTTAAAGGGTTCAATTACCATTTTTTCCAAAAAATTAGAGTCTAACTATTTTTTTTTTTGAAATTTTAAAAGGCTAAATGAAATTTTTTTAAAAAAATATGGGAGGGTTTAATAAAGAAGATTCAAAAAGTTTAAAAAATTAATATGAACTAATAAAAATTTTATGGGGACAAAATAATTTTTTCTAATTTTAAAGGTTTAAATTATAATTTTTAAAATTTTAAGAGGTTACATGACTATATTATGTTCCGCCTCTATAACTTAAATCTAATAAAAAACAACATTCTATTTTATTATTAAATCCATTCAATAAAAATTTTAAATATGAGTAACTAAATTTTTATATAGGCTTAAGTGTGTAGTAGAATAAAAAAAAATTATATTAAGTTAAAATATAAAAATATTAAATATCACTTTCAAGAATTATTTTACGATGTTACAATAAATTTTATTTATCTCATTACATACAAATTTGCAGCAAATTTGTGGGATTTTGCAGTAATAATAAGCAAATGAATAAATTTGGACCGTGAAAAACAAAACAACAAAATGTAAAGATTAAGAAAGTCCCATAGGACAGCTAAGTCTGGTTTCTTTTACTTTTTTCCAGTACAAGGATTTGATTTTCGCCTTTGGGTTGCTTCCTTTTACCTTATACACATTTAATAAAGCAAAAAACAATATTGATTTTGTTCAACACAAGTTAATTAAACGTGATTAACTTGAATAGCCAATCATCTTTCTTTGCCTATAAAAGCCCATTTCAGCCTCTGCTCTCCTCCCCCCTCTCCCCTCGCTTACTCTTCTTCATTGAGAACAATATTACAATCTCTCTGCTTTCTCTGTTTCATAGCCTTTCAAAGACTCTTCCATTCATTTGCTTGCCTTGTTTTTGAAACCGGTATGATAACTTATTCATTGCAGGGCCTTCAAAATTTTCTTGCATTTTAACCCAATTCTTTGTCATGCTTTTTTCTAAAAAGCTTTCAGCTTTCTGGATTTTTGTTCGTGAAAATGATCTCAATTTCTTATTTGTTTTTAACGTTTGAAAGTGCCTTTGCTTGCATTATGGAATACATGTTCTCGATATTCAAGTTGTGGTTCTGGTCTTTCCACTCGTGAGCTAACCAATGTCTGTCTTGTCCATCGCTTGATTTAGGTCATTTGTTCAAGTTCAAAAATGGAATACGATAATAGATACAGTCTAACTCAGAGGCCTAAATACGATTGCCTTTTGTTTGGTAAGCAGCAAGCTCCTTTACTTTAGAAATATGATGATTTTAGACTAATTCAATTGGAACTGCAAATATATTTAACAATTTGGTTGAATTTGCAGATCTTGATGATACCCTTTATCCAAAAAGTTCTGGCCTTGCAAGAGAATGTGGAAAGAATATTAGAGGTGAAGAATTTGAGTTATGATGCATGGCTACTACCATTTTTACTATAAAGTTTTCATGGTAATCTGAATTTATCGTTTTGCAGATTACATGGTCGAAAAACTGGGTGTAGAAAGAGAGAAAGTTGTTGAATTGTCCAACCTCTTGTATGAGAATTATGGGACAACAATGGCTGGCCTCAGGGTATGATTTGCTTCCATTAAACCTTTCCTTTTCAGTAGGGGGAAAATATAAATTTAATATATATTTTTCTCTTTTTTGCAGGCTGTTGGTTATGACTTTGACTACGATGAGTACCATAGTTTTGTTCATGGAAGACTTCCATATGAGAACCTAAAACCAGATCCTTCATTGAAGAGTTTATTGCAGACTTTGCCTCTTCGAAAAATTGTTAGTTTGATTACTTGATGCACAAGCAAGTATTGATCATGCCTTTTTATTTAATTGTATCCTAACGAACTCGATGTCTCATGTTGTTTTTAGATATTCACAAATGCAGACAGAGTCCATGCCGTTAAAGCCCTTAGTAAACTCGGATTGGAAGACTGTTTTGAAGGGATTATCTGCTTCGAAACTCTCAATCCTACTCATAAGAACATTGTTTCGGATGACGAGGATGACATCGAGTTCTTAGGATCCACCGCTGCTGCTTCTGCTACTACAACCGATGCTCCTAGAAGCCGTCAAATTTTCAACATAATCGACCATTTCGCTCACCCCAACAATGGTGCAACATTACCCAAGACGCCCGTCGTTTGCAAGCCGCAGGAATCTGCCATAGAGCGTGCCCTGAAGATTGCCGAAATCGACCCTCAGAGAACAGTAAGACGGTCGAAAATTCACCGTTGTGCATTACAAAACTCATTGCGTTTTTGCAGTCTACTAATGTTTTTCCTTCATTGGATTTTTGCTGTTTCAGTTGTTCTTCGAGGATAGCGTCCGCAACATCCAGGCCGGAAAATGTGTTGGTCTTAACACTGTGATGGCAAGTCCTTGAAAACCTTGTTGTTTTACTTGGCATACATAATCCCTCGAAAAAAAACCATGAAACTAACTCGTTGGATTTAAAAATTTATACAGATTGGCACTTCCCAGAGACCCAAAGGTGCAGATTATGCATTAGAAAGCATTCACAACATCAAGCAGGCAATACCAGAGCTGTGGGAAACTGGTCGGAAATCCGAAGTCAGTTATCCCGGTCAGGTTGCAGTTGAAACATCCGTCACAGCTTAGATCCCATGATGTTGTCCCAATTCCTTGTTATTATTTGGCAGACGATGTATATTTATATAATCCAATAAAAAGTATAAAGGAAATTTTCCTTTTTTGAGTAAAAAGAGTTATTTTTCCCCTGTTTCAGATGGCTTAATCAGTGTTGTCTTAATCGATCTTGAAGGCCGTATTTATGACGATATGAATATAATATATGAGAAGTAATTTAATAATTTTGTCTTCAAATAATGGAGGTATATATTTCAAAGGTCAGCTTGATGCATGGAAGTACAATGAACTTGACTTGTTATAATTAACGTATTAATTCAGACAATGCATGTGTTTTGAGAATTTCTGGAGTGCTCAAATGATGATTCCTAATATGATCATTAAGCGCGTAAATCAACTTTGTTCTAGATTCTATTGAAAGGGTGAAGACAAACTTACAAAAGGAGCTAGAGTTAGTAGGTCCCAAGTTCTCCCAAATCCGAGGGAGGGCTTGGTCTTAAGGATTTGAAGGTTTCAAGCTTGCATGATTGGATTCATGCTTATATTATTAAAAACAATTCCTTTTGACAGTTGTTGTGTCCCCAGAACTGTAATTGGACGTGGAGGAATTTGTTGAGGCTTCGTCCTAAGGTGATGTCGATTCAAGGGCTGCTTGGGAGTCCTTGCTCTTCTATTCAAGGGATTTGTAACGAGTTGAGGGTAAGGCGTGATAAGGTGGCTTGGGATAGGCTTGTGTGGCACCCGGGGCACATCCCCAAAGAGTCAGTTCTCTCTTGGATGGCGGTTCTTGATAGATTGCCTACTAAAAGCAGATTCATCTCCTTTGGCATGGTTGTTGATGGTCTATGTGTGCTTTGCTATAGCGAGCAAGAAACAAGGGACCATTTGTTCTTCGACTGTGGTTTTTCCTAGGCAGTGTGGGAAGGTATCCTCCAGATTTGCCAGCTGCGTAGGAGGGTTATGGATTGGGAGCATGAGCTCCTTTGGGCTTGTCACCATTTGAAAGGGAGGGCTTTTTTCGCGACTGTTCTGAAGTTGACCTGGAATTGTGTGGTGGCCTGTATTTAGAAAGAGCGTAACCGAAGGATATTTCAAGGCAGGTCCGAAGGATATTTCAAGGCAAGTATGCATTTGTTGAGGATATTAGCCTACAAATAAGGGAGTTGGTGAGATTGAGGTTTTTTGGTATGAAGGTTAAAGCTAGGGGGCCTGGCAGTAGTTCGCTCTGTTAAGTTTGGGGCATAGATGCATAGTTTTGGTTTCCATTCTTTTATTGTTTGCTGCAGGGCTTTGTTTTTCCATTTCCTGGCTGTGTTTGCAGGTTTTTCCTGATAAATAGTTTTGCTTCTTTGTGAATTTAGGGTGCAGGTTTTCCTTTTAATTTTTTTGCAGGGGCGCTATGGTGTACAGGGTTGGTTTTAGCTGTCTGTGTCTTTGTATGGAAGTTTGGTGTTGGTTTTGCTCTGAAATGATAGCACATATTCATCTAAAAAAAATGTATGTGTTTTAAGCTTATCTAGAGGAATAAGGTCGAAGATGTGTAAACTTGCAGCAAAGCAATATTGAGTTGCATCTGGTTTAATAGAAATAATGGGTAAAACTGCATTAAGATTAGCATCCGCAAGGACCCTAACCGTACTAGCTAAGTTACCTCAACTATGAGCTTTTACTCGATCTGGGATAAAAGAAACAGACGAATCTTCAGAAGAGAATCAAGATCACCTGATCAAGTCCTCAAGACCATTAAGGACCTTGTTCGAATCAAACTCAGTGATAGAAGCATCAATAGAACTGACTTTGTTAATGTAAATTTATGTAATTATTGGGGTATAAACTGAACATTTATGTTGTAAATAGCTTTTTACCTCAATTGGGATGTTTTGATGTACCTTTCTCCATTGGATATTAATAAAATTGCTTATCCAAAAAAAACTATGAGCTTAGGTCCTCAAATGTTTGAAAATATAGTTAAGTACATTGAAATTTATATTCTTCAAAAATATCAACTAAACGACAATTCATTTATTCATGTTGTTTATTTTTTGCTTTTAAGTCTTGAGAAGTTAAGTTTTCGTTTTACCAAACAATTTAATAACAATCCACACTGAAATGGGCCTGTAGAAGCAAATTATGCTGCTTGGGTCCATGGTTCGAACCAACATTAATTATTAACCTTTTTCAGGTAAAATCATAACATAATATAAAATTAAAAGGTAAAAAAATATGTGAGACTCTGGTACTTTTAAAAAAAAATTAATGTGGATCTCGTATTTTTACATCTAATATGGTCCTCAAACTTAGAAAACAGACACAATTCGATCCTTTGATTAACGGTTTCCATAATTGATCATTATGGTACTTACATGACAATCTATGGTGGTTAGCCGAAAAAATATTTTAAATTTTTAATTTAAATTAAGCAAATATTGAGAAAATTAAATATAAAAATATTGAAAATAAAAATTAAATTATTAAAAATATCTATATTAACCAGAGTGATTGAAAAAGTTATTGGTAAATGGTTCATTTAATTTAGAGATGAATTCTAATGTCAATTTTATTTTATGTAACAGTATAATTATATTGTTATGTTTATATATGTCAATTTTAATTTGAGTTTTATTTTATTTCATTTTAATTTTATATAGACCAAATTCCTATTCCTTGAAAAATTAAAAAACATAAATATTATAGATAATAAAAAATCTCAAACGCATGGAAAAGTTCTTGCTTATATAAATAAATATCAGGTTAAATTCGAAGTAAAATATAATAATATATTTTTATTAATTTACTTTTTACTTTTTTATATTTTTATATTTATTTTTTTGAATAATTTTATATTTTAAATTAGAAATATTTTTATTTTTTTCTAAAAAATCTAAATAACTCCGTAAACTTCAAAAAATCAATTTGATAATCGAACTCAACGAAAAAAATCAATTTAGTTCGTTTGTCACATCATCAGTCACGTTACTAGTCATCGCGGATTATCACGTCAATATCGTGAAGTGTCATATTAATACCGTAACGATAACGATGAAAATCGTTGATCAAAAGATCACATTAGATCTATTTTTTAAATTTGAGGGTTACATTGGGGGGCGTTTAGATGGAGAATTTTAAGATTCCTAGTAGGAATATTTTTTTCCCGACTAAGGATATCCATGTTTAGTTGGTATTCTTTCTCAAATGAGGGTAATATTTTTTCCCAACAGTAAATATTTCTGGGAATGTTATTCCCCCACATCAGTTAGGTATTCTTCTATTCCCGTTTGGTAAGGGCTAAAATACCCTTCTTTTCTGTTTGCCTCAGCGATATCTTCTTCTCCCAAGCGTTGTTGTTTTTGCCTTCGCGCTCTCTCTCTTTGTTCTTCGATCCCGTTTCGGCGTAGAACGAAAATCTCTCGTTCAATGCTATGTTCGAAACGACTCAGGGATCCAAACTTCAGAATGGTTTCCAACCACTACCCGGACCGGAGTCGGATTTGAAAGTGGAATCTCTGCCTGAATTACAATCAGAAACGAAACTGGTTGAGGAATTGAAATCGGAACTGGGGGTAAATGATGTCGAGCCGAAGCCGACTCCGGACACAGAGAGCTCGATCCAAGCAACCACCGATCAAGTTGCTCGTCCGGGGCTGCGTAAAGATAAAGAGAACCGAACTTTCACGATGAGAGAATTGCTAAGTGAATTGAAAAGTGACGAAGATGATACAAGCTCTCCTTACAGGTACTCTTTCCCCTCATCCGTTTCGAGTCTCTGTTGCTAAAAAAATTTACTCTCCTTAATTCGTTATTGGATCTAACGAGCTTTCAATGTAGAAACCTCTGGATCTTTGGCATTCTCTGTTGACTCGCCTCCTTAATTAGGCTATTTCACAAAAAACTTCTAGATGCATCTAGGCGTACTCGTTCTGTTAGACTAAGAGTTCGTCTTCAATTATTGCACGGATGAGCGACTGTTATCCGATCTCACTCTTCATTACTCTTGAACCTAATTGTTAGAATCTAATCATGTATGTTTTGTTGTATGTGAGCCTTTTAGTTTATTCTCAACTTCATGTGAGACATTAATTGTATCTTACGCTTTCTATAACTTTGATTAAGGAGTCCTTGATTTTGCGATCTTCCAGTCTGTAGAATGCAGTTTATATTATTTTTCATGGCGCCATTCATGCAGTAAAGATTTCTTGGTCTTGTAGGAGTAAATAACTAAATATGTATCATCTTGTTTCTTCTTGTATTTATAATGTTTCTTTTGCTCAACAATGATATCATTTTCTACTCCATGATTTATATATGCTTCAGTCAAGAAAGCAGACAATGACAATCCTACCAAAACAATGTTGTAATGGAGTTGATCAATAGTGTCACTGGTACTGATGAGGAAGACAGGTCTCGCCAACGTATTCTTGTATATGCTGCTAGGAGGTACCATCATCTTGTTTTATACATTTTTCACACTTATTATTCATATTGAACATGATATGTTGCTGCTTTGATTCTGTTATTATGTAGTACTAATTTTAAGTCAAATTTTATAGGTATGCTACTGCGCTAGAGAGAAACCCAGAAGATTATGATGCTCTTTACAACTGGGCATTGGTTCTTCAGGTTTGAGATGCTGGTTCATTCTGATATTGTTATCTTAACATCATTCAAAATGATATATCATGTCCAATTCTTATATTGCTAGAACTTCCTGCTTAAGTTTGTGAATGTAAACATGATGTAATCTTTGCAAAATATTATAGATTTCTCATTATGTCCATGTGATTCTTATTTGGCTTGCAGGAAAGTGCAGATAATGTTAGTCCAGATTCTACTTCGCCTTCTAAAGATGCCTTGATAGAGGAGGCTTGTCAAAAGTATGATGAGGCTACTCATCTCTGCCCAACACTTCATGATGTATGAGTTCTTGTTCAACTCACTGAGAATTTGTGATTTTTTAAGTTCGTTTTCAATTACAAAAGGCATGATGACTTCTCAGAATGCATAAGCTATATAAGAAGCTTGATAGACAAGAAAAATAAGTGTAGAGATGCAGAATGCATAAGCCATATAAAAAGCTGGATAGACAAGAAAAATAAGTGTAGAGATGCATAATGCATATATGTTCCCATATATGGATGAGTATGTATAGTATATATTTTTTACTGATATTCTTTTCCTTGGGTTTGTTGCAATATTGTTGCTTAACAGGCTTTCTACAACTGGGCAATAGCAATATCTGATCGAGCAAAAATGCATGGTCGGACCAAAGAGGCTGAAGAACTCTGGGAGCAGGTTCTTACTAAATAATTTTGGTATTTCAATCGTGATAGATTTTGTATGAATAATAGCAGTCCTTTGAAGCCAAATCTTAGTATCTTGTTATGGTCCTTCAGTTAGTATCTTGTTATGAAAACCTTTTCCTTGCATGGATAATATTCTTATTCTGTTAATGCTTCATGATAGCTTTATACTATTATACAATCTTTGATAGTTAAGAGTTATCACTTAAAATATGAGCACTTTATGGGCTTTCTTCCATATTGCATATCTAAACCATTCTTTGATTGGGTATGGCTGATGAATTATCGGGAAAACAACAATCTCCATATGCACAGAATACTTGCATTGAAGATTTAGACTCAGGTTTAATACATCTATGGCGATATATATGGTCAGTCTTCTATTTTTCGAACTCGAAACTTGATCTTCTTCATATTGATACATGATTTTTACATTTCCTATCTGACAAATCAGGAGGATTTGGTTAGAATTTTGCGTTCATTTGTTTCATTTTACTACCATGAACATCTTATTTAACCCAATCAACTTCTCATCATCGTATTGGTGCCTAAGATTATATATAGATATAAATGTATATTTTAGATCAATGGTTATCTTCAAAACATTGCTTGGTGTCTGTTATCATTTTGTGCCTTGTAGTATTTAAAAATAACTATGTTTTAGTTGTTTCTATTGCTACGCATCGTGTTCTTATTCTTGTATTTTCGATACGAACATTCAGTGTAGAGTTCAGTAACTGTAACCCATTCTGTTTCTGGTTTCCCCTGATAAGTGGAACCAAGGAAACCCCTTATGTTTCTGTTTCTGGTAACCACTTATGCTTATGTTTCTAGTAACCCCTTCTGTTTCTAGATTGCATTCTAATAAATCAAGGAATGATACCATAAGAGGCAGCAAAATCATCAATGGTTATGGTGTCATTCGCATTTTTAAATTCACAAAAGCTTCTCCGATACATGTTATTGTTGGATACATGTATGTGTCGAACTTAATGCTATTTGGGTGATGCTCTCAACCAATTTTGAATGTAACGTAATTATCATGTGGGTTGCTAAAATTTTAATGTCGTAATCCGACTAATTGAACCAGTTCAATCGAGAATTGGCTGGTCTGGGGGTTCATCTGTCAAAAATTGGAAATTTGAAGAATTGTTGTGAGCAACTTCAAAACCAAAACCAAACATTGAAATAGGAAAAACCGGATGAGCAAGTTCTTTTTAGGTTCTTTGTTAATATGGTCTTTAATTCGATCAATTGAACCAATTCAATTGAGAGTCGGTTGATCCAGTGGTTATAAAATTGGAAATCCGAAGAACTGTACTTAAAAACAAAAAATTGAAATAAAAAAAGACGGATGAACAAGTTATTTTATGGCTTTTGAATTTCTTTTTAGGTTTCTTGTTAATATGGTCTTTAATCGAACCAATTCAATCAAGAATCGATTAATGTAGTGGTTGTAAATCATTCATAAATATAAATAAATATAAGAGCATATTTTATTCCATTAAAAAAACAAATTAATTCAAAATCGTTTAAAAACATTAAACTATTAGTATTTTTAAACTTTAAATAAATCATATAAAAATATTTGTCTGAAACGGTGAATGCCAATGGTTTATGTAATGAACTTTCCTGTTATCTTGAGTGATAACAGTAGAAGAAATAGAGAAAAGATGATAAAATAGAAAAAAAATATTTGAATTATAGACAATATGATTTTTAGTGTTATATTTTATTACTTATTTGAATTATGTTTTTGCAATATAAATTAATGAGATAAATAATAATGATAAAGTATGAAGAATTAAGTATAAATATAAAAGATAAATAAATAAATTATTATATATAGAAGATATAATAAATATTATATCTTAGATAACAAAAATAATTTACATTTTTTTATTATTATGAATATCTATGAAGAATTTCTACAATGTAAACATTTAGTTAAATATTGATGTAAAATTGTAATATATTTTTACCTAAATTATGTAAAATTTAATATTAATTAAAATAAAAATAATACATGATATATTTAAATACTCAAGTAATATATTATCAACAAATAGAATTTTTATATAAATAATTTTTATTTAAATATTTAGAATTTCACTTGTTAAAAACACAAATATAGAACAAGGACAATTTGGTAAAATATACATTCCAGTAATCTTTTATTCCTTCAACCAAACACTGTAATCTTACGTTCCTGCCAAACTAACCAAACACAGTAATGTAACATTCCCAGTAATCCTATTCTCTGGTAATCTTTTATTCCCACTGATAATCTTACATTCCGTGAACCAAACACACCCTGGATGTAAAAAAATACGATGACCACATTGATTTTTTTTAAAATACGATGACCTTACATACCTTTTTGCCACACTTAAAATAAATGCAAAATTTTATGTCGAAACTTTAAGTATTTAAATATTATAAATTTTGAAGTATAAAATTAAATCATTCACAAAAAATATAAAAAAACACCTTGTTATTATAATTAAAAGTATTGATGCATGGTGTGTCAATTTATTATGCTTCTATTTAAAAAAAAAAAAAGCATCTTGTCATAATTTATAATATACCCATTAAGAGTAAATTCCTCTTCCCTTTCCCTTGGAAAAAAATGTTAAAAAAAATGATACCTCTTATTCAGAATAAGTCAACGCAAAATCTATTGAGCTGTTGAAGTATATAGAGATGGTAGCATCGACTGAAAAAGGAACAACTTCAGGCCTGATATAGCAAAAGCCTGCTCACAGAAATTGCTCTACACATAAAGCATTTTCATTGTCACATTGATCTTTATCACCTTGCAAGAAGTTACTATTATCATTTATCAACACATGAAACTATCTTTATATTGACAGCAAAATTGTTTGTATGTTTCTTCTCAATGAAATGGGGGCCATGGAAGTTCTAATGGTATTCTTCACATAGAAGATTATTCTAATATCTTATCTGTAAAAGGGTATATCTAAAAGCTCTTGTATATCACACACACATATATATGCAAATACTGAAACTTTTGTGCCTTTTAGGTTGATGACAAGCTTTGAAGATGTTATAGGTATAACAATACGAGACAAAACGAAAATAAAAATGAAATATTTTATAGATCCACAATTTACTTCCATGGTGATTTATACAAGTCGCGACAAACGACATTCAATTCCTCGGTAGGATCTCGTCGTAAAATGTGTGTATATGAATCAAGAATAAAACATACACAATTAATAACATGGAAAATATTCGATTAAATAATCTGAATAGAAAACTATAAATATATGAATACTAATAAGCTGAGGCATACAGATTTTCGACCACTCATTGGTGCTTGAGATATTTGGTCTTCTGTCTCCCAGGATACAACAACGAGATGATCAGCGCACAGTAGTACATACAAACTATTTATTGTCTTCGCATATCACCAAAAACTAGAGAAAAGAATTCATTTGAATTGGGTTTTGAGTTGTTTTTTAATTGTGTTTAAACTACTAGGTTAACACGTTTTTATAGGGAGTTCACATTATGAACAATTGGAAATTTTTGACCTAATGAAGCATTAATGAGAATCAAACAATTAAGCAATTTCCAAAATTATCGTTTTGATTAAAGAAACCTTTTAATATTTATTCTTTTAATTCCAAAACAGATTTTGAAAATATATTATCTATTTGAGGAAAATATCTCATATTTGGGTTAAAATATTCGTAAGCTCACAAAGAGCTAGACTGGTTCGAACATTCACGTTGTCCACATCGTGCATGTCTGCACATTTACGAACCAACAATTAGTTCCACATTTCATTCAACAACGTTTGGATCAATTTCTCATGCAAAGCTCCAAAATTATCAATTTTTTCCAACAATCCCCCAAATAAATGAAAGTGATCATTTATCAAAATCATTTTGACTTGATGTGGTGATAGTCTGATAGACTCTACAATCAATAGTTGCATAGGATAGGTAGGTGTCCTCCTTTGAACCTTCCCTTATGACAGGATATTTACTATACTAGCTTACCAGTAGATATGATATCATTGAATTGTTCTTCCGTTTGTGTAAACGATGATATACTTCACACAACTAACTCTCTGACAGGAATTTTAGTTCTCATGGGTATGTCCTTAAAGCCACGGACATCGCCTGGTTCTGCAAGAGTTTGAAATAACTAGGGTTTTCCTTCACATAAAGCCTTTCATTTCATGGATTTTAGTCTCATTCCTTTCGATGTTTTCTCAATTTGATCTCAATATTAACTCTTCGGTTAGTGAATCTATGATATTATCCTTTGATCTTAGAAAGTCAACAATGATAACTTCATTTAAAAACAGTTGTCCAAATATATTGTGTTGATGATGTATATATCACAACTTACCATTACACATAATGTTCAGTGCTCTAGCAATATATGAATATTGTGGGCATTAACTTTGGCCATTGAAGAATATCCTCCATGAAATTCTAAAGTAATTCAAATTATTCTCTAGACTTGTCTAGAGCTACAAACGTTCATTTCATTTTGGATTTGGTTATAACCGTTTTCTTGAAGATTTCTATGACATGACTTCTCTTCCTAATGTGAAACATATTCACTTGTGCCTTTGATATCTTGAATATCATATATTCAACTGGCATCAGAGTATCCTTCTAAGGAAGCAAGATCTTGGGATAATACAATCCATACTCTTGAGCATATATGGGATATCTCATTTCTCTCATAATTTATTTTCAGTGATTTGTCATAATGACAATATCTTTGTTTCAACCTTTCATTGAACATCTATACTTATCTTTATTGATTGTCTTCAATCATCTTTCTTAGTTATATGAGGAAATATATTTTCAAAGAAAGAGATATTCTTTGATTTCGTTATCGTGTTCTTGTGAATCTCGAGATTCTTTGATTCATACACAAAATGTCGATATGTTTTGCTATAATCTACACATCCAATATAATCCACCGATTTGTGATTTCGTTTCCTTTGATAATGAGATTATT